TATTTTTAGATTCTGAGTAAAAAAATATTTAAACTAAGAGATGTTGCACACGAATATTATTATACCTCAAAAATGTATACATTAAGGAATAAGGTAAGGTGAAAATCAACATCAGAATGTTGTTATATACTCTGTGAATAGCAGTTCAAATGTAGAAACCTCACAAAGTATATTTTGAACAGAATACAATTAGACAAATTTTAATTTGAGTGAGTTTAAGAAACACACTACTAATTATGTTTTAAAATTATAAGACAGTTAGATAAATAACCAGGTTTTCTATGGTGGTCTAGCTTCAATTGACTCATGATCTCAACTATTGAAATTACCATAAAATCCATAAAACCTTTTCTGGTACACATAATTATTTCTTTGAAACTTCATGTTCTGAAGAAAATATGAATGTACTAAAATAATTCAGTTATAAGCTTCAATTTAATCTTTTTTATAAACATCAAAAATAATTATTATTTCTTCGAATTGATAATCCGAAGCGCATCTCATCTCCTGTCGACTAGCTTGACAGTCCAATATGACTGGTGAGCTTTCCAAAAGTGTTTAAAGTGAAAATCCAGATGAAAAGCTTGATTCAATCAGCCTATCTTTATTTCTCAATATCAAGATAAAACTATCATAAAATAGGGCTTTTTGTATGGATTCATTATGTATTTTCTACAGAGATTCGTATGATATCCGAGTTCCTTTTTTTATCAATGTTACCCTCGAACTATGCTGAAGCACAGTTACTCTCATTAAGCAGAGACGGGGAAATAGAGATTTTGCACATGCTACTCCATATGTATACATGCTTGAATACATTTGGACTGATAGTATGAATACTCACCATTTATTTTTTTCACTGATCTTTCCTCTTTTGGATCCAAAATAAGATGACTAGCTGTGTATTTGATGAGATTTCTAGAAATAGCACATAAAGTTTTCCAAAACAATTAGACCTTCATGCTGTTAATTAATTTATTTAATATTGTGGTGTGTGCTACTGATGTCAACAGACATAATAATATGTATCGTCAGTCGAAATTAAAGTGTCTGATGGCAGAAGATTAAGAAGATCGAATAAAAAAGAACGAGAACAGAGAGTGATTGGTGTGGAAACGAAAGAACAATGAAGTCTGAGATGACTGATTGGCATTTTGCAAACAAAGTATTTATTGTATGGATCGCAGATCTGACGAAGATGTTCTGTAATTTTCTATTCAAACACAATCGATTGTCCCCACTTGTGTTTCCGTTCACTACAATGTGACGTACTTCAATGTTTTCAGCAACGTATAACATACATTAAGTGACTTATCACTTCTTATTTTTTTCCAAGTATAACTTACATTAAGGCTGATTAAAATCTAACTGAAAATTATATTCTTCGCTTATATGTTTTATCAAATCTATAATTACGCGAGAACTTATCACAAATCTTAGTATATATAGTAGCAAATTGTATCAGGATTTGTTAAATCGTAATAGTAACGTATTCACTGTATGGTGTATGCACTTCGTTTTTAGTAAACTTTATTCAAAATCTTTAATATTCATAAAAATACTTCAAGTAAATGTTTACCTATTTTAAAACTTATTAATGATTAACAATACAGCTAATCTTCTTTTGTTATTGAAGATTCTGTTTTCCTTCTTCTATAATGTAGTTATTACAAACTAAGAATGTAGAAAATCTAGATCATTTGTGTTGATTATCTTATTATTCTATAATCAAATCTTGTTAAATAACATTTATTGAATTTCATTATATTTTGATGAAATATTTTTTCTTGTATTTTTTATTCTTTGAACATCTTCATTGAAGTAATACTTAAAGGCGTATATTATATAAGTAGTAATATTTGTCAAGTATAATTTATAATGATTCATTCAGAGGTTCAATATCATAAATAACTTAATTTCTTTTTTTATTTATTATTATTATTAGTGGCTTTATTCAATATTATATTCTTGGTATAATATAGAATTCTCAGCACAATGTACTTGAACAAGTTCCCTTTTCTTATTTCTTGATCGATCCTCGCGATAAATACTGAGTTGTTACCAGTTAGATATTAGCAGTTCAGGAATCGACATCTGAGTGATGTATATTCTTTTCGATGCACATTGCCAGCGACCACGATATCTCTTATTGGTCTGTTGTAATGTCGTAAACTTTTCACAAGTGCACCTGAATAGGTTATGCGACTAATATGCATAAAGATGTGTTAAAACAAACAAGAAAGACAGGTAACTTGTTGAAATATCCAGGTGCTAGGAACAGGTAGCTCAAATATACAAACATTTTCAATGTCCACAAATATCAAACAAATCAATTAATCAATAAAGAGAACTGAAGTAACTAAATAATGCAAATGATAAAAATCAATGTCCTGTAATTATGTTTCTAATAATAATAAAAACTGTTTATCATTAATTATCTTTAATCAACCTTTTATTATCGCTAAGCTATTGTTAAAATGTTTATAATTCAATCAAATTATTTTCTTATTTAATATCAATATTAATTGTTTGAATTAAAAGTGTATCGCCCTTTTTTCTTTCAACTTACAATTAATGATGATGATGTTGATGTTGTTGATGATGATGATGATGATGATGAGACAAAAATAGGAAAAAACAACATTTTTTTTCCTAGAATCATTGATAATTAAATACAAAATATCTTTTATAAAATGGTAAAATAAAACTTAATTAGCCTGAATTTGTATAAAGTTTAGGTTGAACAATTTGTTTGTCTAAAAAATAGGAAGTTTTAAAAAGACTAGATTATCTATTAGATAGTCAGAATTAAAGGATGGAAACAATTAATTAATGTTAAATAACGTTGATAAAACACTTATTGACAGATAATTCCTATTTAAACATTAGAAATTAAGAATATGAAGATCTGTTTTTAATGATTTTATTATCAAGCTGTATATATATATACAACTTAAACTTGGATTAATTTTAATTTGGTTATTTATTCTTTGATGAAGTGGCTTACACTGATTCACGAAACGTCAGAAAATCTAATTTTTCTGTTCATTGGGATATTACAAATACATTGTTTATTTGTAACAATCTACCTAATGCTCAATTTATTCGAAATTATGAAATCAAACCTTGATAATGATACCTACATATTATGAAAATAATAAGAGAAATTCATAAATTATAACGATGTGAATTATTGAAAATCTTTAAACGAAACACGTCACTTCTCTTTGCCTTTACTTTGAATAACAACAAAAAAGACAAAAGAAAATTATCAGTATAAGTGTTGTGGAGATTATAAAGTTTTTGATTAAAATCATGAACCAATTGACGTTCGGTTCATGATCTCACTCAAAAAAGAACATTATATTAGAACTAATTCAATTTACATCTTATGAATGATCAAAATTATTAATTTCAGTTATTGAACTAATAATAAAACTTTCACTATTGAAGATATAATTTTTGAATATTTAGAATCTTGAATATATGTTAAAATGATATTTGTTTTCATTTTGAATGAGTAATAATGAAATTGACAGTGATGAATCAAATTAATAAAATATGAAAGACTATTCATTGGTATGAATTTTTGTTTCAACAATTACATTCACTTGGGAAGTCGACTAATTTCCTATGTAGAAAGTGACTGATGTTGAATAATTTGAAGAGTCATAGTAGCAATTTTTTAAATAATTGAATTAATGAGTCAATTAAACCTAGGCCACCACGGAAAACCTGGAAGAACTGGATGGCCGTTTTCTCCTAGTATGAGACTTTTCAGCAGTGTGCATCCACGATCCAGCCTCGCGAGATTCGAACACTTAACATTTAGACCACTGAGCCGGTATCCAACAGTGTTTATGGTAATGTTAACTTCAACTAATCCGCGAAGTTGAGCGAAACATCACTCAGGAGTCTCAGTGGTCTAAACATTCATATGCGAGACTGATAGGTCCTGTGTTTGAATCTCGCAAGGTGGGATCGTGAATGTGAACTATTGAGGAGTCTCATACTAGGATGTAGCGGCCGTTCAGTGCTTCCAGGTTTTCCATGGTGGTCTAGCTTTATTTGACTCAGGAATGAGTTATTAAAAAAATACCTCAATCTCCACAAAACCCCTCTGTATTTACAGTAGCATTATACCATGAATTGGTTACAATAATCCGATAATAAAAAGATGTCATGTAGTAATTTGATGGCTGATAAAACATCTCAAAGTGAAAATTAATGTCCACTGGATTAATATTAACAGCAGATTAACTAAACGTTAAAATAATATCTAATTAATAGTTGTGTAAAATAACTGTATAGAATTCGAAAAAGCTATAGATTATGGTAGATCAAAAAGGAGATTAAGATTATGTTAGAATGAAGAATCGAACAGATTTTTTTCGCGTACAAGGTTTACAGTCGAATTGATAGATAAATAGATATAACCTCCACTGTATATAAACATTTCAATTTTATTCCTTTAGAACTGAGTTTTCCGGCTATATGAATGATTTTGAACAATGGTTCTGGTAGGGTTGTTGTTGTTGTTGATAATATTATCACTTATCGACTACAAGTGTGGTGTGTGCTAATTACGTCGACAAGTATAAGTAGCATGTAACAACAGTCTGAAAATGAAAATATGGAAGCACGGTCTAAGAAGATCTAGATGAAGAAAAAACAGAAACAGTAATAGAAAGGAATTGTCACTTGAGAGTATCATACAGAATGTAAAAGACAAATAATGAAAATTCGCAAATGAAATATTCATTATATGATTTTCATATTTTACCAAGAATTTCTATAATTTTGTATTAAAGAATCTTTGGTTATTCGTTCATTACATTAGTAGTCTTCCCACTTTCATCATGTCATTACACATCAAAGTCAAGTTAAAACTCTTGATAATTTACTTTAAAACAAATATATGTAGTTCATCTTATTTGAATACTGAGTTGTGATGAAATCACCATTCATTGGTCAAATTCTTCTCTTCTTTTTATCGATAGGGTAACTTCTTTGTAGAATTAACAATCATATACGAATCATACAGTATATTACCGAACACTATTAGGATGAAATTAAAATATCAAAATAAAGCAAAATTATCTAACATTATCGATGTTTTATATCAATATGGTAGTGAAACATTCCTTTACAAATTTCTAATCAATCTAATCAAAACAATCACATCAAATTATGTTCCATGGATGAAAGACTATACAGCAAATATTGACAATCAGGTAAACTATATTTATTGGTTATATATGAATTTTATTAATGCAAATATAAATATTTTATGAGTTCATGATAAACACCTCTATCTTTCATAGTTCAATTCATGTATTGATTGAAGCTAAACCACCATGGAAAACCTTGAAGAACCGGATGGCCGTTTCGTTCTATTGTTTGACTCTTCAGCAATGCACAACCACAATCTCGTCTCAGGATTCGAACCCACGACCTTTGGTCTCATGCGTCAACGCTTCATTTCTGGACCACTGGCATTCAACGGTGTTAATGTCTAGCTTTAACCAACTCACTTCTATCTCTGTTTGTTCAGTCAATTTATTCAAGTCGTGTCCTATATAAAGTATATACACTTGGTACATATAAGTTTAAATTGTAAACAGCTGAAGAAAATTCAGAATATTAATGAATACATATTGTTTCGCTATGAGATTTATTCTTGGAGAGATTGTTCAAGACAGTTTATTTGTAAAGTTTACATTGTCATTCCGGGTTATATTACAAATTAAAGTAATTTATTTAAAACTGATTCACCTTTTAAAAATCCTGTCCAAGCAATATAACAATATATATATGAAGACTAGTTTCTTGAAAGACTTATATAAGTTAAATTACGTTCGAAAAAAAAGATTTTAACAATTACATTATACTCATTGAAAAATAAGTTTCATAACTAATCTCTCTTAACCACAGGCCGCATAAAGATTCCAAGTTTTATTTCTCATACAATCAAATATTTCACGGTTAAATAGTCTGAAAATAAGGTAAAAAACATAATGACAATAAGCTAATACGTTCTAGTATTTATTAGTTTTACAGTTGATTTAACTGAACGATCAATAATTCAAAGAAACATATTTTGACAGTCCACTTAACATGAATTTAATTTTTTCATTAATAATGTCATATTAAAATACAAATAATAATTTTACACTTGGAGTAATATTGTTTCTAAGTAGAAAAACATCCTAGTAACTATTGACTAGTTGTTTTTGTATTCAAATATACTTGGTTGTCCCCAACTGTTTTCTCGTTCTCTACAGTAGTAATATTCATTTAAAATAACTCAGTTCTCCTTCACTTAATTGATTCACTTAATGTCAATAAGACATGTTATTTATACTAATTAAGAAACACATGATTAATCACCTATACATAAAATATCTGATTATTTGTAAGATTACAAACGTAATTTATTACAATTTGAGTCTTTTATATAATCAGTCTACAAGTTTGATATTAGCTCGTATTTACATTTTTGCTAATAGTTTTGAGTACAAGTTATACTCACAAAATGTATAGTTTAGGGTTTTGGAGGTTGTAGAATTTCATTGAAATCATGAACTTATCAACGTTAGACTACCATTGAAAACCCCGAAGCACTGAACAGGCATTTTCTTTTAGTATGGAACTACAAAGCAGTGCGTATCTATGATCCCGACACATGGCTTACTGCTGCTATTTTGTTCAATAGTCACTCATGTCAACCCTATTAAACAATCTCATTGCACACTAGAGTACATAATAATGGAACGAGTATAGAACACTGTAGTCGTCAGTTTGCCCATTGGATTTTTTTATTCAAGATTCTTTTCTAAATCAAAATATTGAGCACACTTGTGTACATAGTAAATAAAGCTTATCAATAGTAGTGATGAATTATCTTTATCTTACTATTTAAATATTTATATTAGGAATTCTCATAGTTTACAAACATGTGAATTGTTAGTAAACTGTACAATACATAACATTATATGTTTGTAATGTTCAACAAATGAAACGAAAAACAACCTTAATTACTCGATAAAAAATTTCATGTACTTCAATTTTGAAAGCTTTATTTCACATTAAATATGTTTACTTTTATTTAAAACGAATTATTTATCCATTCAATTGTTTATTCGTTGCTATAGAAACGGTTATTATAAACTGATTGATCTTCAAAATGTTGAATCAACCTACACACAAAAATGTTATCTCTGTAAAAAAATAAAATCATAATTACGGAATTACGGATATGTGTTGTATAAAGTTAGCGCCATAAAAAAACAATAACACTGTAAAACCAATGAGTTAGATGACTACATTTTATTTCATAATGATCGTTCTATATCAACTTTGATGCCAACATTTATAAGGTACATTTAAATCTTTATTAATTTTAAAATAATCGCCAATATTATTAGGAATTAAACGTGTATCGAGAGAGTGATAGTAGCAATTAGTTTGACTTGATTCTGTAAACCAATAAAGATCTTCGATATCAATGATATTAGGCTCATTTAATCAATATGGACACTTTATGAATCGTTAGATCCTAAACTTGGAACAGATAAGCAAGTAAATCGGGTGAAAGAGCTATTACTCAAATAATAATCACAAAAGTAACCCTTTGTTTTATAATCAGTGAACGTCTCTTTTTTTCTTTTATAAATAAATCATTTAACATAATGCTTGAAAACAGTGATAAAATTAATTTCAATCCTCAATTCCTTTACTAAAACACGATAAGAAACCAGAGAGAATTTTTGATTGGATAGCGAAGATAAACAATATAATTTTTAGAAAAGGTATTATTAGTAAAAATGTTGTTTTACAAATTATAAAGTGAGTAATGCCATACGAAGAATCTTCCAGTGTCTACATTTGTTAATAAACTTGATTTAAATTTAACTAGTGAAGCTTAATCAAGGATGAAAGATGATCGCTCATTGTCGTGGACTGGTTAGAATTTGACATTAACACCGTTGGGTTCGGAATCAGTAGTCCATAAGTTAAAAGTTCACGTACGAGACCGAAGGTCCGGAATTCAATTCCTTCGTGCAAATTCATGGATGTTCACTTTCGAGTTCTAAGCTAGGACGAGACAATCTCCAATGCTTCTAGATTTTCAATAGTGATCTAACTTATGTCGGTTCATGATATCAATGAACATGCAATTTTTTAAAATTTTTTGTGCTCTAATGGATTTCAGCTTACCTGTTTTGATTAATATGTTATGCTGTTTATGTATTTATCAAACTCATTTTCTCAAGTCATTATAGGTGATTTTACTATGTGGATGGAATTACAATGCAAAAACTTGATGTTCTAGTGAACTGAATGAAATTTATCTCACATAATTTGTCTGCACTCGTTGTATTTGTAGCTTATTGATGTTGCCCAATCACTCAAACAAGTGTTTCTATGAAATATGATATACTGAGGCTACATGTCTTGAATTATAATATAATCTACTGAATGACTTGTTGAATGAAGTTTATTGGGATCAAGTACAACAATGATTACCTCACGGAAACTGGATTTATTCACTCATTAATAGATAATGCAAGCTCTTGGTTTATGTTTAAACTTGGTTAATTTCTTTAACCGAAGGCATATTTAATATAGTCTTTTAAAGCTAAATAAATTCAACTAGTTAAATTAAAAATCGGTCATTAAACTTAAATATTTAAAACTAAAATACAATATATGCATACATATGTAAACATACTTTTGAGTCGAAGGGAGGACTGAACTATAAAATGGTCATAAATAAATAAGTAAAGTGGTCAGTTTATAAGAAAAAAAAACTTGAACAGGGCAATATTTAATTTTCCATAGTTTCTGTCCATTTCGAATAGTTTATTGAAGCCTTGACTATTCGTAAATTTAGCCTCCATCCTTATGTGTACAAAATCAATTTATTGTTATTTTGAATTCACTCTGGTAATCCTTAAATCATTTTATGGCTTAGCAAAGTGATGTAAGAAATGTTTCTCTCCCCTTTGTTACGTTTTTTACTTGAACTTCCATTCAATTAACCTTTATTAATTTTCATATAAAATATTTTGACAAGCATAAATGTGACCAGATTGTTCAATTTGGATAGCGCAAATTACATCATATTTTTTTCAGATCAACTACGTCTTCTTATTGCTCTATTGAATTTTATTAAAGAGACTAATTACTTTAAACAATATGTAATTGTCTGATCTTCAAAGATTATTCATATTATATCTTTATCTAATTACCGGTTGTAAATACAGACCGAATTACATTTTAAATTTATCACAGTAAATATGATCAAGTTAGAATACTTAAATGTTTCAATAAATGAATAAATAAATGTCATATTTAAGGAATTTTAGTAACCAGTTACATTCTGAATTAAATAATAATAAAGTATAATGGTGAACAAAGTATATTTATATATTTATAACATTTAATAATATAGTTATGTAACGAAACTGAAAGTTGTATTATATATATATATATATTATAAACTATCTAAATGATAAAGACAATAGACAAGTTAAATGTTGGCCTCAATATTGATTCTTGTATTTAATTCAACATAACGGTACTTTATAACTAGTTTAACATTTTCTAATAAGACAAAACGTATGTCTTTTGTTTTATATCTTAATATAGTAAAAATGTCCTGTAAATGTTTCTATTGCTTTAATGTATATAACTTCTAAAGGTTATTCATTCTGTTCATTATATTTTTTTATTATCTTTTTATATCATTTATTAGACCTATAAGCTTAAAATATCACTTCGTAACTATTGTAGTAAATAAATTTATCAGGGTAATTATGTGGTAAATGTTTATTATTGTTTAGAGATAATCGGTCTTTTGCTTATCATGATCACTGATATCATATAAATACAAGCTAACAGTCAATAAACATAATAAACCGAAGTGCGATTCAGAATCTATCACGAAAGAATAAGTATTTATACTTTTCATAATAATACTGATTATTCACATCTTCATTCTCTTCATATACTTGAAAACTGTTACAAGTAATAACTTCCACAAATCGTTATACCTTTAAGATAATATACGTGAGAAGCGAATTACTACTAGGTTTTTAATAAGATATATTCATGTTCTTAATGAAAGTGATACTTTCTACTAATAGAAGAAGCAGATACTGCACAGTTAATAATATGATACAATGAAATAATTCATGGGAAGTAAAATGAACATTGCACAATGTAGTGG